CAAGAAATGTATAGAATGTGATTACTTATGCCATAACAGGCATTTTTCTGACATGTAATATCATATGGACTGATTCCTTGGATGAGCAATTCAAGGAGGATGAGGTGGGCAGGTCATGTAGCGCGAATGTGGGAGACGAGGAATGTGTATACGATATCGGTGGGAAAGCCAGAAGGAAAGAGACCACAGGGAAGACCAAGGTGTAGGTGGGTGAACAATATTAGCACATTGCGGACCGGTTGTTTAAATATTTAAATCACCCTGGGGACCGGGGTTTTTAAGCCTAGCACCCTAACTTGTGCACTGTTCACTTTAAAAATTAATATAAAATCTCCTAATTAATTTTATGAACTAAAATTTTTGGAGAACACTTACCAGAGCTCCTAGAAGTGTTTGCGCGTGTGATATCTCTGGAAACCTTCATCAGAGCTCTCTCTTTCACTGGACACAATATTTTGGGGGGCCTTGTGGCCCCTGTCACTGTCACTTTCACTGAGGCTGGCCTCGCTATCAGAAGACGAAGCAGTTGGCAAATCTGATAGCTCATCGGAGAACAAATCTAATATTTCTTTTTCTCGGAGAGAACACTTCGCCTGCAACTGCTTTCGTCTCTGATCCACGTTACACTGTTAACTTCCTGGTTCATATGTGGAAGCTTGGACTCGTACAAAGGCTTTTTTCTTTAGGGTGTGACAGGAAATGAGTGTGATCATGTTACTGGCTGAGCTAACAAACATTCCCGAGGTCAACTACGCAGTAGTTATGATGCAACGTGGCCACACAGCGATATATAGTCGGTTGCAACATAACGCATCAGAAAAGGGCCAATTGGCCCGCCTGGTCCGCAACGCTATAGAAACGTAGAGGGCCAATTGGCCCCTCCAGTCCTGAATGTGTTAGAATGGATCTGAGAAAGATAGGATGGGATGGGATGGATTGGATAGATCTGGCTCAGGATATGGACCAGTGGAGGGCTCTTGTGAACACAGTAATGAACCTTCAGGTTCCATAAAATGCTGGGAAATTCTTGAGTAGCTGCAGAATTTGTGGCTCCTCCAGAAGGGCTCAGCTCCATGAGTAAGTAAGTAAGTAAGTAAGTAATGTCATATGTGAGAAGAAATAAAACATCAATGAGATGTCACCTGAAATGTTGGTACTTTGTATGCCTGGCTATTTTACAATGGTATGGAATTGATTATATACAGTGAGTGACATTCTATTTTTACTGGTATGAGTTGATAAAATTGTAAAGTTACTGTCTGCTCAACATGTACAACTGTTGTGACAAAATGTCAACATGCATAACATCCAGGAATACCGTAGAATACCGTACTCTTGTACAAAATTAAGCATGAGAATGGTGAGTAAACTGTACCTCAACATTATGCAATCACTTTATTTAGGTCAAGGATTTCATACAGAAATTGGAACTCAGCTGGCTGAATTAAATATAAAATAGTTTTTTCTTGAGCCATTAATTTCAGTACTGTACCGGTACCACGAATTCAGAATTAAATATGGGAAACTGTGTGGTCTCTGTGCCTTTACTCTTCAAGACAAAATATTTCCAGAATTTTCGCAATATAATTTCATTGTGAGAGAATGCCAAAATTATATGTAATTAATTGTAAAATTGTGTCTGGGCGATGTGTTTATATGCATTTACTTAAAGATGATCAACCAAACCTGCATATGTAAGAAAAAATATGTTTAACAGTATATGGAAATGCCAACAAATATTTCAGGAAATCAAAAACATGACATGTCTAATAGGGTCTTTGGAACTGAAGTGAAAGTAGCAGAGTCCAAATGATACATAATGAAGAATACAATCAAATCCCAACTTTCATTCATGAATATGATCATTTTATGATAGTGGGAGAGCATGACTTTTGAAAAATCTTAGCCATGCCACACTTTATGCTCTGTGAGCACACAAGTAATTGAAATGAGTTAACATTCTTCATTTGGCCAACGTAATAGCTTAGAATGTCATGCACTTTCTTCTCCTGTCGAGCCCGTACTACAATGTATCTCTTTTAATTGTGCCTGAGCTCACAAACACCTAGTGGATAAGAACTGTGTAATGGAGATAGCTGGAGATAGCACACACATTGTCTGATCACTTCTGGCAATATATAGAATACCACTGAACCCTAAAGGTAAACCCTTTATTTTATTTTTGAATATGTTGGCCAGGCTAACACAGTTAACATGAATATTCTGCCATTGTTTTTTAATAGTAACTTTTCCTTTACATAAGTTTAATTCATTCTTTTAACTTTATGCATTTTGTGTATTTTTATGTATTGCAATAACCTCAAATCTGAAAAAGCCTCAGATCTTACAACCTCATATCTATTTCATTTTAAGAGTACTGTATTCATATCAACTTACCCCTCTCCCCCCCCCCCCCCACATNACCAATGAGCCCTGTGAAAGGAATTTTGTCCATATAAGATCAAAGTGACTAACTCAAGTTTAAAATTAGGTAGAGAGAATGTCACTCGAATTCCAGTTCCTCTTAAATGAAACTGAAAATGGCAACAAAACTCCATCAGTTTTATTCCATTTTAGTTATTCTAATTCTAAAAGGATATGTCCCCTTGAGAATGCAACAGTGCTCTTCATATGACACACAAGAAAATATCCTCAAAAATATAACTCTGTGAGAGTTCTGCATATGTTGTAGCTTGTTCCATACCCTGTAAATTTCTATTTGGGATGTAAGCAATTTTACTGCAATTTATTTTCAGAGTCAGAGATACTTTACGACTGGCAGCTTGCCAGCAATCAGTTCCTCTTGGCTTCAGGCTACTTGAGACCGATGACCAGAGATTTTTTTCAACTGAATTGCTGCGGTAATAGTCCTTATGTAAAATCCTCTCTGACAAGAAGATGGGTTTGTCTCTTATGAATACATTTGGCCTAAATTTATTTTCACATTGTTTCAGATTCTATGAATATATCCAAACACAAAAAAATATATCTGTACCAACAAAATATCATTATGGATCTATAGCTTCAGTTAACAATATATATGCATGTTTGTCCTCTCTTTTCAGTTAAGAACACAGTTGGAGAAAAATAGACTATAATACTGCTGGAAGGAAACTGATGTCTCTAAAATTACCACACACAATCAAATTACACCGTCCACCAAGTTGCATGCTGAATGGAATGTAAGATTATCGTTTAGGAATACAGTCCAATGAAATGAATGTTAAAAAATAACTTAAAAAAAAAAAGAATGATTGTACTACGTGTCTGTGAGTTGACTTCAATGAGAAGTACATTCAGTATTTAGGAATAGTCACATATATAATTACACAGGAAGGACTGAAGTTGATCTGGCATCATAGCTGCACTAAAGGTGAAGATCTGTTCATGCCTACCTCGACTTCGCATCTCTCCTTGGTGTACTGATGGTGAAAACAATTCTTTCTTTTTCCTTTCTAATGCATACTTGCCAGTACCTTCATGCTCAGTTTTAGCTACAAAGTCAAAATATTCAATGCACCAGTGGATGTATGACTTTCAACAAGCCTGATGGTACACATCAATTGCCTTCTGGTGTGGATACTGGTGTATACCGATTAAAAACACTGGGTATTATCATGTATCAGTGCAATGAATAATGTACAGTTTTTTCTGCAGAAGTTACAAGATTTTCACTATATGATGTAATGATAGGTGACTACACAATATATATGGGTTTGAATAATATTTCAAACAGACGCCAAATGGTAATTTTCTTGGTTGTTAGCAAAGACACAACATGGAGTGGGGTGATTTATGCTACGGAACTTATTAAAATAAAATGGTGTATATATTTTATACATAGGAATGACCAGTTATGTAAGCAAATACTAATTACTTCGTTATATGATAAACAAATAGGCCATACTGCAGCTAGGTGGTAATCCATGTACCATATTTCAAAGTCTCAAAATTTATATTTCAAATTATTGATCAAACACAATCAATGATTTCCAAAACATAAACTGTATTTTCTTTTCAAAACATTTGTGACATAAATATCATTAAGCCAACTTGCTTGATCTGTAGGTAAGACTTAGCTTGCTGTCATTTGCATATCTTCCAGAAAATAAAGTTCATTTTATTTATTTTAAATAAGAGAATGTAATTGTTTTTCACATTACCATAATAAGCCTACATTTACATTAAAAATATAAATAATTCCAAAAACACAATCTCATAGCTTCATGTGCAGAATCATAAACAGANCAATACAGTGTTCATTTTATTTATTTTAAATAAGAGAATGTAATTGTTTTTCACATTACCATAATAAGCCTACATTTACATTAAAAATATAAATAATTCCAAAAACACAATCTCATAGCTTCATGTGCAGAATCATAAACAGAATGTTATATGCATTTTATTTTCTTACATAATAGTTTACTTTTACAATGTAACATGTGTACATTAAACTAATGGTTCCACTTGAACATATTGTTTTTAGCACTCCATTATCCAGTCCTCTACAAACTCTCCATAGTGAATCATTGGCTCATAAACGAAAACTCAAAAGTGCAGAATTAGTGG